GCTGCTGTTGCTGCTGCTGCTGCTGCTGCTGCTGCTGCATCTGCATTGTCTCGTGTCTCTTCTTAAGGAGACAACAACTAAATAAAAGGAGACAAAAAGGAGACAAAAAAGAGACAAAAAAGAGACAAAAAGACAAAAAGGAGACATATATATTTATATTTATATTTATATATTTATATATGTATTTATGTTTATATTTTGTCTCCTTTTTGTCCCCCTTTTGTCTCCTTTGCTGTCTCCTGCTATCTTGTTACTGTCTCCCCTACTGTTCCTTTTTCTAATAACTATGCATGCAGCAGTCCCTCTATCTGTCCCCTTTTTGTCTCCTTTTTGTCTCCTTTTTGTCTCCTTTTTGTCTCCTTTCTATTTGTTGTCTCTCTTTTTTGCATCTATAAACTAACTAAGCTACATGCAGCAACAGCAGCAGCAGCGGCAGCTGCTGCTGCTGCTGCTGTTTTTGTCGGTGTGCCTCAGCTAGCCTCTGCAACATCAGCAGCAACAGCAGCAGCAGCAGTGTTTGCTTGCTGCTAAAGTTATTGCAGCAGCAGCAGCAGCAGAAGCAGAAGCAGAAGCAGCAGCAGCAGCAGCAGCAGCAGCAGCAGCAACACCTGCTGCTCTAAACGTCATTAAAATGATTAAATTGGCTAAGTTTATGGCTGCACAGCAGCAGCAGCAGCAGCAGCAGCATTTGCCGCTGCTGCTACTGCTGCAGCAGCAAAAATCCATACGTTGCCGCTATCAACCACCAGCAGATCCAGGAGCACCAGCTCCTGCTGCTGCTGCTGCAGCAGCAGCAGCAGGAGACACTCATCTGTTGCCAAGTCTCCATAGAGAACAATTAAGTCCTGCTGTTGCAACAACATCATACTTAGGGTTTGCTGCTACCCAGTGGGGGGCCCCCCAATGGGGCCCCAGGGCCCCCAGGGGCCCCCAGGTAATATCACAGCAGCAGACATCCTGTACCCATATATCTTGATCTAGAGTATCTCCTTTATAAGGAGACAGGGCCCCCCCGCTGCAGCATGCACCGCTACAATAGGAGGGGGGCCCCCTGGGGCCCCCTCCACCCCTTGGGGGCCCCTGTGCCTCTACTGTCTTTAGGTCATATGCATATACCCATCCATCTCTGCTGCCGCACAGCAGCAGACCAGGAGCAGCAGCAACAGCAGGTACAAATGCTTCCCTACATATGCCCCCCCTGCTGCTGCTGCAGTAGCTGCTGCTGCTGCTGCTGCTGCTGTAGCAGCTAGACAGCTGATCAGAGTTATCAACAAATGTTTGCATCAGCCAATCATCTGTACCATCATATAGATCCATCTCTTCTTCTCCTGCTGCTGCTGCTGCACCTGTTGCTGCAGCAGCAGCAGCAGCAGCAGCACTAGTTGTTGCTGTTGCTGGTCCTGTTACTGATGGGGGCCCCCATACAGCAGCAGGGGCCCCTGTATATGTATTAAATGCTAATAGACGATCCCTATCTGTACCCACTATAAGCAAAGAACCATCAGGAGAAAATAACAAGGAAGTAGGTTCCTCCCACTCCTGCTGCTGCTGCTGCACTTGCTGCTGCTGCACTTGCTGCTGCACTTGCTGCTGCACTTGCTGCTGCACTTGCTGCTGCTGTTTATGCTGCAGATAAGGAGAAATAGAGAAAGAAAGAAAAGGTTCATGAAAGGAATCAGGATCATATAGATTAATAGTACCCTTTCCTTCGTATAGGGCCCCTATTACTGTACCCTGGGTACAATTACTAAATGTACCCAGGGGCCTCCTTGTTTTTGTTTCTTTTTTATATAAATAATTTTCTTTATCTATTTTATATATACTTATATATCCATCATCTGTACAGCATATAAATATACCCTTATTGGGGTGTATAGACACCCCAGTACCTGCTACTACTCTCCCTCTTACTGGATATACACGTACATATCTATTCTCTCTTAGGTCCCATAGTCTTATATTATAATTGTACCCTGTAGACGTAGACGAGGAGCACGATGACGTATTATTAGGTTGGGGGGCCCCATGGGGGCCCCCAGGGGGGCCCCCAGGGGGGCCCCCAATTGGGCCCCCAGATGTAGGTGGTGGGGGGCCACCAACATGTACCTGGTTGGGGGCCCCTAATACTTCACCAACATTATCATGGTGCTGCTGCTGTGCTGCTGCACTTGCTGCTGCTGCTGCTGCTGCTGCTGTTGCTGTTGCTGCTGTTGCTGCATCTCCTCCTCCTCCTATAGCAGGATTGGCGAATGCATGCGTATGGGGCCCCCCCCCAGCTGGGTTTCCAGGAGGGGCCCCAGAGGGGCC